AACTGACAGACATGAAGAAGCAGATAGAGTATCTACTGGACAGACAACTGATCGGCCCATCCACCTCTCCCTACGATGCACCAGTTCTCTTCACTCCAAAACTAGACGGCAGTCTACGGATGTACATCGACTACCGCGCACTGAACAAACAGACATTTAAAAACAAATATCCCATACCGCACATAGACGGCCTACTCGATCAACTGCGTGGAGCAACAGTCTTTTCGAAGCTGGACCTACGGTCGGGTTACTGGCAGATCAAGATGGCAGATAACTCGGTCCACAAGACGGCGTTCCGTACCAGATACGGCTCGTACAAATACTTGGTGATGCCGTTCCGACTCTGCAACGCACCAGCAACGTTACAGGCGGAGATGAATCACATCTTACGACCCTTGCTGGACGAGTGCGTAGTGGTGTACCTGGACATTCTTATCTATTCCAAGAACATGAAGGAGCACGTAGAGCATCTACGGAAGGTGTTCAAGATCCTATGGAAGAACAAGATCTACGTGAAGCTGTCGAAGAGCGACTTCGCCCTGAAGAAGGTGCAGTTTCTCGGGCACATGGTGAGTGCTGAGGGCGTACACGTGGACCCGCGGAAGATCGAAGCCGTCAAGAAGTGGAAAGTACCGGAGAACGTGAAGGAGTTGCAGCAGTTCCTAGGCTTCGCCACCTACTACAACAGGTTCGTGCCGCAGTACGCAAAGATAGCAGCGCCACTGACCGACCAACTGAAAAAGGATACGCCCTACAAATGGGATACTCCTCATCAGCAAGCCATGGAACAGCTACAGACAGCACTGACTACAGCGCCAGTACTCATCTTGCCGGATCCAGACAAGGACTACGTGGTGGAAGCAAACGCTAGTGACCAAGCAGTCAGAGCAGTACTGATGCAGGATCACGGGCGCGGTTTGCAGCCCATCGCCTACCTCAGTAAGAAGCTACACGGAGCAGAACTGAACTACCCCATCCACGACAAGGAAGCCTTAGCGATAGCCATAGCCTTTAAGGCGTGGAGGTGTTACCTAGAGGGAGCCAAGACTACAGTCTATACTGACCACTGCAGTCTCAAATACCTGAAGTCGCAGCCAACGCTCTCTCGACGACATGTGCGGTGGGTGGACTTCCTGGAAACTCACTTCCACTACGACATCGTCTACAAGCCCGGGCTACACAACAAGGCAGACGCGTTGAGCCGCCCCGGACATGTAGAAGGCATCCAGCTCGACGGGATGAACCCTCTTCTCAGGGGTCTATTCCAATATGGGTACTCCGTGGACGCAGAGATCGCTACAGCACAGATCAAGGAGCTGTTACAGTGGGAGAAAGACTTAGCTGTAAGGAAGGGTTCAGGAAAGATTTGGGTACCGAATTACGCCTCGCTACGGCATATCCTATTGGAGGAGTTTCACGACGTACCTTACGCAGGACATTTCGGGAGCAACAAGACGTTAGCAGGGATAGCAAAGTATTACTACTGGCCCGGGATGGCAGCAGACGTGCAGCAGTTCGTCACCTCATGCGACACGTGCCAGCGGATGATGAGCAGCAAGCAAAAAAAAGCAGGGTTACTTCAGCCTCTACCCGTACCGGAGCAGCCATGGCAGGTCGTTAGCCTCGACTTTATTACAGGACTTCCTTCGACCTCACGGGGGCACGATTCCATCCTCGTAGTGATCGATAAGTTCTCCAAAATGGGTCACTTCATGCCGACCAACATCACAGCTACAGCTGAAGCAACTGCTCACCTCTTCTTCGACTGCATCGTCACCATCCACGGCATCCCCGCTACACTCATCTCAGACAGAGATCCAAAATTCACGAGTAAGTTTTGGAAGGAGCTTATGGGATTATTGGGGACCAAACTTGCGATGTCCTCAGCATACCACCCACAGACTGATGGACAGACAGAGCGACTCAATCAAGTGGTTGAACAATTACTGGGCACAGCTTGCAAGGACGATGTCAGCCACTGGGACACACAGTTACCGACCCTAGAGTTTGCTTACAACAACGCATCACGTCCGGCCACAGGGAAAACTCCTTTCTTCCTGTGTTACGGACGGGAACCACTCACACCACAGTAGCCAACCACACCGGCACACGTCCTAGCCGCACATGACTTCGTCACCACCATGCAGCAGCTATGGGAGAAGACTCAGCGACGACTCATCACGATGCAGACTTCCCAGAAGCAGTATGCCGATCGCCAGCGACGAGATCACTCAGTAGCAGTCGGAGATCAGGTGCTTCTTGACACACGCAACTTGAACCTGTCTCACCTACCATCCAAGCTCCGGCCTCGCTTCTGTGGTCCATTTCTCGTGGAGGCACAGGTGACACCAGTTACATTCCGCTTGCGCTTACCAGATACATGGAAGCTTCACAACGCTTTCCATGTCCAGCTACTGAAACCCTACAAGGACCCCAACCAAGAGTTCCAGGGACGGCAGCTACCGCCACCACCACCTGTTCTAATACAGGATGAACCCGAGTACGAAGTGGAGCGCGTTCTCACTCATCGGCACCGCGGCGGCAAGACCCTCGAGTTCCTGATACGATAGAAGGGATACGACCCACTGAGGACAGTTGGGTTGCAGAAGCTGATATGGGCAACGCACGCCGTGCTCTCAAGGACTATCTTGTCAAGCAGGGTGTATCTCACGCCACCCAGCTTTGAGGGGGGGACGTGTGAGAGTACGACGGCTTATGCCAGCTATGCTTGCTTGCCTTGACTTTATTATGCTGTTTCTAGCATAGGATAATTATATGCATACATGAAATGCTTGATTTCCTAGGCTAGGTGCTTTCCTTTATTTTATTATAATTATAGCACCGAGCTAGGTTGCGTGCAGCGAATTCTGGCTTTTCGGTTGCCACCAAATTGCCTTCTACCGAATTCGGGAAGGATCTGTTCGGGACGCTTCGCGACCCGCGGAACCTTCGCGTAACACATGGTTACGGGGCCTTGTGTCGAGCCTATATATAGCCTCGTGTTGTACCCAGGTAATCATTCAATTCAATTCAATTCGCATGCTCTTTTCTGAGCTCGATCCTAGATCCTCACAGTTAATCACTCCTGTTTCCAAGAGCTTGAGGAGGAGATTTGTGCGACCCACCTCGAAGTCCAAGGCATCAAGGACGTCCGATGGTTGTCTCGTGGTGACGCCATCCAGCGCCTGGTGAAGGTGTTTCCTGCAGCAGTGATGGTCTTGCACGAGACAAACCAGAAGATGTATCAAGTCTTAACGAGCTACAAATTCCACTTCTTGCTGTTCTTCCTTGCGGATGTCCTAAAGGAGCTAAACCTTCTCAGCTTGAAGTTCCAGCGACGGCAGGTGAGCATGTTTCTCGACTTACTGTTGGTTGTTTTACTATACTATTACTAATCTCCTACTGTTGCATCCCCGTTTACAGGTCGACGCAACCCATGTGCTGCCGATGGTGCACAACACCACCTTACTGCTGCGCACACGCTACCTTGACTGCGACGACGAGTCTTTCGGCCAGGGTGGAGACGCGTTGGGCCCATTCCTCAACAAGCACGCATCAGGGGAGTTCCGTGAGGTCCTCGTTGCTGGCACAGCATCCGACGGCACATCGGTCAGCCATCGATACCGACTGCACGAGGAGAAAATGAAGGGCCAGAAAAGTGGTGTGGACCACCAAGCGTGTTTGGGGCTGGGGCGCGAGTTCATCACGACCTTGGTTGGTAGGCTCGACTACCGCCTCAAGGACCTTTCACACCTCGATGGGGCGAAGCTGTTCAAGCAGGGATCGTATCCCAAGAACATGGCAAAGCGTGAGCGCAGGCTAGGACAATGGCTCCAGTCTCTGCGCAACATGTTCAAGAAGAGACCAGAAGACCTGGATACCCTACCAGGTGCGTTAAACCCCGAGGATGTGCTGCAATAGTGTTTTGTACTGTCTTTTAGCTGCATGTTTCAACCCTTTCCAATCTCCTTTCTCACCGTCCCCATGCGCACCCCAACCGCAGGCATCAACTGGGCGAGAGCGCAAAGGGAGATCGTCACCTTCTCCACAATCTTGGCTACACACCAGGAGGATGTGGGGTTTGCGGACAGCCTGAAGCTCATGCTGTCCTCTCCCGACTGGGCGACGTGCTACTCGAACCTCGTGCACTTGTGGATCGCCATCGCCGTGCTTTCGCTCTGTATCGTGGGGTGCGAGCGCGGCTTTTCACGGCAGAACATCATCAAAAGCTGGCTTCGCGGGAACTTGTGCGACGCGAAGCTAGGAGAGCTGATGGCCGTCTCGCTTCTCAACTATGACATGGAGTGGCCCGAGTTACTGAGGAGGTGGAATGCTAACAAGAAGCGCAGGCCTGCCAATGATGTGCTGATGGCGTCCGGGGAGAGACAGAGCAAGCGTGCGAAGAAAAGATCAGCCGCAGCTGCAGCAGCAGCAGCAGCAGCACTGGCAGCAGCAGAAGCAGCTGCTCGAGAAGCAGCCCTAGCAGCAGAAGCAGCAAGGCTGGATGCTGAGTACCCGTGGCTTAGTAGGAAAGATAGGGCCACTGTCCCAGAGTCAATAGTAAGCGAGGATGATAGTGATAACAATGAACTGTCCGGCTATAGTGACTCTGACTAGGTTGTTTGCTATTGACTAGGTTGTTTGGTACTAGGACTAGAACTGCCAGTAGGATTTGTGTAGACAGTAGATAACTCTGCAGGATAACAGTAGGTTGAATTTGATAGGAAATTTTCATTCATCTTATTAATCAGACTAGAAAAATGTTTTCATCTTATAATGCAGACCAGGAAAATTTCTTCGTCCAAGCATAAGACGGGGAAAGATTTTTCTTGTTTACTCTCAGACAGCCCCAAAACCTAGCGAGAGCCCTGGTACCGTACTTACTGAAAAAAAAAATCCATTTATAATAAGCAAGCATTCACACATTTTTTTACATGTATATTTCGCACAATGTAGGTACATAGTGCACAACGGCATCTATTCTCGTTCCGCACTCAACCATGCTTGCCACATGGCACACCTCCACTCCCCAACCAGACCCCTCTTCCCTCCTCTTCCCTCCGTGCAATGCATTGGAAGGGCATGGCAGGTGAGGCAGCCATGCTTGCCGCATGGCACACCTCCACTCCCCCGACCCCACTTCCCTCCTCTTCCCTCCCACACTGTCTTCCTTGCCTTCCATCGTGCTCCACTGCCCTCCACATGCTGCCCGCCGGGATATGGCATGATATCAAACCATGCTGTGTCACCAAACTGAAACAAGCCACACTAAAACAAATCACACCATGCCATGCAATGGCACACCCCAGTATGTCACGCAGTAAAAAGCCCCACTGATACAAGCCATACTGAAACAAGCCACACTAAAACAAGCCACACTGAATCATACCACTGTGCATCCAACCGCACTGCATCATGCCACACTGCATCACATCAAACCGTATAATAACACACTGTATCACACCACCTGTGTCGTACAACACTGTATGATGCCACACTGTATCATACCGTAGTATCAGACCCCACTGTATCATACCACACAGTAACATGCCACACAGTAACATGCCACACAGTAACATGCCACACAGTAACATGCCACACAGTAACATGCCACACAGTAACATGCCACACAGTAACATGCAACACAGTAACATGCCACACAGTAACATGCCACACAGTAACATGCCACAAGGGTTTTCAGCCCCAACTCTCCCACCCATGGGTTTCACATTTCCCATGGACCACGCCGTGCCTCCCCGGGCCATTCTTTGCCAGTGCAGCTGCAGCCTCGCCCTGTCCCATCCTTCCCCTGTTCCCCGTGCCTCTTCCCATTCCTCAACAATCAACTCCCAATCTGACCTGCATCACCTCCTCTTCTCGCCATCACCTCCCTCCCCCCCAACCCACTTGCTTCGCATGCTCGCAGGAGCCGACCGGTGGTGCAATGTGCAGGGCCCTTTCAGCGAGAACCGCACTGCACCGTTTTGGAAGCAGCCATCCGCGCCAAGTTGGGAGCCCTGCCTCTCAGGCGTCTTCCTCCTCTCTCGTCTCTCACGCCCTGCATCACCCCCCACATCCCCTGCAGCACCGCTTCCTCGCTCTGTGCTCTGTCTGTGCTCTCAGAGCACCATCGTCTCTGCCCAATCCCCTCCCTTTCACCCCTCTCCCTCCCCCCACCCCCCCTCCTTCCCAGACGTCGTACTTGGGCGTGTGTGGCGACGTGGCGATCGCTGTCAACACAAGGGCTCTGCACGGCGCTGCAGTGGCATGGGTGTGCCGCCATCACCACGGCCGGCATCTACCCGGGCTTCAGCAACTGTGCGTGCAGTCAGGGGAGAGGGGAGGGGAACAGATGGGCGCCAAATGGGATGTTTGGGAATAAAACAGCAGGGGCAGAGTGGGGAGAGTAACGATGAACATTGGAGGAGAAGGGGGAGTTGACATGGGAAGTTGTGGGGACATGGAACACAGCTTGACTGCTTCCTGCTGCCATGCTACCATGTTTTTCGCCTGATCCGTCCCACCCAGGGCGTGTGGGGCATGACAGCACGAGCAGCGCACCATGGTGTGCTCTCCTCTCCTGTGCTCTCCTCCCTGCACTGATGGCAGCGGAGCTGGTGCGGCTCGCGGGGAGGGGACACGCATGGAGGAGCAATAAGGGCAGCAGCAGGTCGCTCTCGGCCTTCGACCAAAGAGCCTGCGGTGCCACCACTCTCTCACTCACCCTCTCACTCACTCACTCGCCCATTCACTCACGCACTCACTCACTGACTCGCCTGCACCCACCAAGTGCCAACTTCACCATGTATTGCTCGAATCTCTACACCTGTCTCCCCTCCTGCACTGCCGCATTCCCTTCAGCCACTCTCCTCCTCCATGCACTGCCCTTTTCTTCTCATCCGCCCCAGTACTCTCCCCCCCCCCCTCCCACACACACAGACACACCTACATCCCCCACTCGCACACCAGCTTCTCGTATTTCATGGCGGGACCCGGGAGGGGCACGGGAGGGGCGGGTCCCACCATCCTGGCCACCAGCCTGCTGCTGCTCGGCAAGCCTGCCACGGCCTTCAAGGATTGTGGGGGGGGGGAGATGGGGATGAGTGGCAAGTGAAAAGGGGATGAGAGACCCCCGCAGATAGCAAGAGATGCCCCGTAGTGTATTTTTGCAGCATGAAACAAGGGGGCACAATCAAACAGTCAAGAACAATCAAGCACATGGTTAGCACAAACTTATGACAACAACATTACACGCCGTTCTGCCCGTTCTTGTCAACACGCATAGTTTCCATCAAGTTATGGTGCTGCAAAGAAGCCCACTCATACGAGCCGATCAAGACAGAGAATGGACAAAGAAAAACCACACAACACAACACTACCACTTCCACAAATTACCCACGATACACGAAGGAGGGGGACTGACTGGACCGCGGTGCGGCATTGTACAGAATGGCAAAGAGCTCATCATGTATTCCGGATGGAACTGCCATGGGAGAGAAACGGATTCCAACGTGTACAGCAAGTGGTTCAGGTGCTTTGTAGGAAATGGAAGGGAGGGAGTGGGGGTTGGGGAACGAGAGAGGTGGGGAAAGGAGGTAATGGTTTGTACACCAGCCAGCAAAGGAGAGATCCATGGAAGCTGGTGGGAGCGAGTGAAGGATAGTGTAGGAAGGAGGAGGTGAAGAGGGACGGTGGGGAGTTTATGGGAGAGAGGCAAATGAGGGAAAATGGGAGGGAGCAAGGGACTCGATTTGGTACTGAGAAAAGTAGAGAATGGAGGAGGGAGGGAGGGAAGAAAAACATGAGTACGGCGCTCACGTGTGGCATTGCGTTTACAGTAACGTTGACAATATGAATGCACCGGGCACCTTGTGAGGCGCGGCACCTCAACAGTGCGCCAGCAGGGCATTCACCAGTTGCCCCACAGCCACCAGGCACCAGTGCCTCTGCCATGCCCACTGCAGCCCTGCACACCCATACGTAAAAGTCAACTCGTAGAATAGTTTTTGCATCCTGTGGTATTCCCGATTTTCCAACTTAAGTTGCAGCACGTCTGTCAAACATGAGTGTTTCAACTATTTACCAGAGCAGTCCAAGCTCCTACTACCATTCGTCATGATGTCTTCAACCCGGTTTTGTACGCAAAACTCACTCTCCCTCCCGTGATACATCCCTCCCATCGCCATTCCTTTTGTAAAAAGAGTTATGACATAACCACACGCAAAAAAAGAGACACCACCTTCCTAAACATTTCCTACCCCTTTCTTGACATATCTCCCTCTCTCTTCTACCCCTTCCACAGGCCCTAACCTATCTCCCTCTCCCCTCCATCCTAGGCTCCTACTCTCCACACCTCTCCTGTCCCATGGTGACTCCATCCCTCATTCCACATCCTCTTCATCCACCCTTTCCACACCATACCCCCTCCCATAAATCGTCGTGCCGTCTTGGGGAATCAGGGGGCAATCAGATATGTAGCACTCCTGCAGCATCGCCATATTTTTTCTGAAGGGTGGCAGCTGAGCCAGCTGCATACAACTCTCCAATACCAGCTCCCTCAGTCGTGTCAAGTCCTGTAGAGAATCGGGGAGGCTGCAGAGATTCGGGAGATTAGCTAAACTTAGAAATCGGAGCGAAAATAGTTTCCCAAAGTTATGCAGTAAAGAAGATGCATCCAAGCCGTTGTCAAGTGTGCAATACCGTAGACCGGGCATATTGGGAAAAGATTCAGGAAGTTCGGATATTTTTGGACAATCATGGATCTCGAACTCCTGGAGCTTCTTCAACTGCCCAAACGACTTAGGTAGCTGAAACAAACTGGGTAGTGAACCCAGCGAGAGACTAGTAAGCCTGGAAAGTGCACACACTGCTTCCGGCAGTGCTTTGAGCCCCTTCGCACGACAGATGGACAAATCTCTCAAGTTTGACATCTGAGAGATGGAGGCCGGAAGTGCACGCAGTGCAGGAATATACAGCTTCAGCGTTTCCAATGAAGAGATGCACACCAGGGAAGAATCAAGCACTTCAGAAGCAACACCCTTGATCGTCAGGCTCTGCAGCGACGGAAGCACTTCCTCTTCAACACTCTCCACATTGCTGCTGCTGCAGTTGCTCCTCCCCCCAACCAAGGTATCCACAGCGCTGCTTCCGCCAAGGGACTTGCAATTGATTTCCAGCTCCCGCAGTCGAGGCAGCTTCAACAGAGACCGAGGGATTGATTCCAAGCTGTGTAATTTTGAAAGCTGGAGCTTCTCCAGCATTTCCAGCTGCCCGATCTCCTCTGGCAACGCTCTCAGCTTACGGCAGGAGTCCACCGTCAGGCTGGTGAGGGAGAGAGCTAATCGAGAGAGTGAGGAAGGGAGGGAAGTGAGATTTGGGATGTCGTTTAAAGAGAGAGTCCTAAGGTGTGAAAAGTTGCCAAAGCCCTCTAAAAGGCAGCCTCTCAAGCACTGGGCACCATTCAACTCTATCGCTACGAGAGATGAGAGACGGAAGGAGGAAGGGAGGTGGGTGATAGGTATGCGACTCAAAATCAGCTTCTGAAGGTGGTGAAGACCATCCCCCATCCCCTCTGGTAGAGCAGTTACCCTAGAGCAGTCGCTGATTTCCAATGTCTGAAGAGAAGACAGCAGTGTAAAGGAGTCAGGCAGGTGGCTGAGATGTGTTAGATTCGTCAGATGTAGAATTTCCAAACCAGTCAGTTGCCCGAAGTCCTCGGGCAGGGACGAAAGACCTTCAGGATAATTGCCTTCCAAACTTCTCAGCTTGATACTCTTAAGCTTTGACAGCCGACCAATGCCATCTGGCAGATCCAAAACACTTGTCTGGCACAAGTCGAGCTCCGTGAGAGATGAAACATCAGGCAGGGACGCGGGCAGCCATGAGGAACTGTCCTCGCTCTCAATGGTAAGCAGTTGCAGCTGTGGGAGAAGTCCAACTGTCTCTGGAAGCTCCGTAATCCCCTCCACACGCCTCACCACTAGGCACTCCAATGCCGACAGCTTTCCAAAATTATCAGGCAGCGCCAAGAGGTCTTCAATATCCTCAAGCTGAAGCTTATTCAGTCGATTAAGTTGGGAGAGACCAGTAACCGAAATGTCATGCACTCGCTGATGGACAGTTGCTGTAGATTGACAAGCCGCTGAATGGACGTCGGTAGAGAGCGGAGAGAGTTAACGACAAGCCCCAACGTCTTCAGCGAGACGAGGTTGCCAAAGTCTCGTGGCAAATCTTGTAAATCTCTAGCATGGAGCTCGAAGTCCTCAAGTAACTGCAACGAGGTGATGGCGTCGGGAAGATTCTGAATCTCATCAGCTGTGAGGAAGAGGCTCCTGAGTCGAGATAGTTTGCCGATGGAAGGTGGAATGCGCATACACGACGGACAATCTAGGTGCAGATCCTCTAGGTTGGTGGAACCCTCAAAAAAATCCGAGAGTCCGTTCTCAGAGAAATCTTTGCCGGGTCCGACAGACCCATCAGGATTGTCAATGCGAAGCTCAACCAGATCGGGATGCGCGCGGGCCAGGCCAGCAAGGAATTCGTCCGGGACGAAGCACAAACGCCCTTCCCCAACCAGCAGCTTCTTCAGCCTAGGGAAGGTCGCGAGCTGTTCAAGCAGCAGGCGATGACTCATGCAAGGGCGATCAGAGAGGTGAATGACGTCCTGCACGCGATAGGCCATGTCACGCCATTTCGTGCACACCAGTGCTTGCACGAACTGGTTCGGCTGAGCAGCCAAGTGCAGGATCTTGGCGAGCAAATCGTCATTTCGCCGGAGGACTAGCTTTGCCGACTCGTCAGACATTGCGACGGATCTAGAGCGACTGACACGCACGGGTGACGACTCTTCGAGCTTGTCGTGAAGACTAGATAAAACCGACGGGAACTACAAGCTTTTCTGCTAAGCGATCTGTCCTGGCATACGAAACAGGGGGGAAGGAAGTACTAACCGAAGAGGCTGACGGATTGGCAGGGCGGAAGAGATCCACAGGCTATCGCGAAGGAGGCTTGGCGTGGTTGAGTGGCGTGTGCCTCAAGAAATGACGCGGAGGGGTGGAGGAGGGGGAAGCGCGAGGGGAGAGGTGTGAACCTTGAGAACTCAGAAAGTCGAACTGAAAGGTAGCTCTTTCGATGATGGAAGGGAGCTCTTGGATGACGGGGAAATTTGTGGTAACGCTGGGAGGGAGCTCGAATTCTCATCTCACATGGGATGTTTGGAATGGGAGATATGGGAGATTCCGAACATTGGGCGAAAGCTGGCCGTCAGATCCAGTTGGTCTTGAATGTTTGGAGTTGGACTTCGGCTGGAGCATCCAAAATGAGAAGAGTGTAATCTCAGATCGCATCCATGCTACTGGCCTGCCTCGTATAAAATGAACTTTTTCTCGCTGCTTCATGCTATACGCACGCTCTGACGCCTGCCCTTGTTCGTTTCCGTGCATTTTGATTGATCCCAAGCTTTCCGTTCGATTTATCCTACGCTTCTCGTTCGATTTATCCTACGCTTCTCGTTCGATTTATCCTACGCTTCTCGTTCGATTTATCCTACGCTTCCCGTTCATTCTCGCTTCTGCGGATTTCTCCTTTTCCTGTTTTTCCCGTCTGCCCTGTCGTACTCCGTTTCTTTGCATCTTTCCGTCGCATTCATCGCTCCCTTCCCCTCGTTCCTCCCTATAGTCCGCATAGCATGTGCACAGGCAGCAGCGGAACGAACGAGAGCAACAGGAGCAAGCGCACGCAGCAAGCGTACGGGGAGCACCTCCTTGCTGCTTCCTCCCTTGCCGCCTCCTCCCTTGCCGCCTCCTCTCTTGCCGCCGCCTCCCTTGCCCTCCTCTCCCTTGCCACACCCCCTCCCTTGCTGCAGGCGAGCAAGGAGGCGGGGACACGTGTGTGCGTGCGGGTACGTGGGGTGGACAGCTCACGTGTGGGACGGCCTTGGCGCGCCCAAGCTCCAAATGCTGCCTCTCGCGCCTCACAACCTCCCAATGGTGCGTGCCGCCCGTGACAAAGGGCGGCAGAGAGCAGGGGGAAAGGGGGGCGGGGGGGGTTACTTCAGGCGTGCTGAGAGGTCACGTTGGGGATTGGGGAGCTGCAGACAGTCGGGGGTGGGGGACAGAGGGCGGGTGGCGGAAGGGGGAGGACGGAGGGAGGTTGCGAGGTGGAGCAGCAGCGGGCGAGGGTCACACTGTACCGCCACTTGCTCTCGCGTGCTGCCCCCTTGTCTTCCCATGCACGCCATTCCATCCCATGCAACACACCCCTCCCCTCCCCTCCCCTCCCCTCCCCTCCCCTCCCCTCCCCTCCCCTCCCCTCCCCTCCCCTCCCCTCCCCTCCCCTCCCCTCCCCTCCCCTCCCCTCCCCTCCCCCCTCCCCTTCCCTCACCCTCCCTTCCCGCCTCCACTCCCCTTCCCTTCCCTGTTGTGCTCACCTGCTTGCTGTTGTGCTCACCTGCTTGCTGTTGTGCTCACCTGCTTGCTGTTGTGCTCACCTGCTTGCTGTTGTGCTCACCTGCTTGCTGTTGTGCTCACCTGCTTGCTGTTGTGCTCACCTGCTTGCTGTTGTGCTCACCTGCTTGCTGTTGTGCTCACCTGCTTGCTGTTGTGCTCACCTGCTTGCTGTTGTGCTCACCTGCTTGCTGTTGTGCTCACCTGCTTGCGGGTGTGCTCACCTTTGCTGTGTGCTCCCAGCGGATTATTGCTTGTGGCTGCTCTACTAACCCGGTTCCTCTCCCCTTCTCACCGTGCGCACCTCCTTTCCCTCCCGTCCGTGGCCTTCCCCCTTCTTCCCCCTGTTCTACCCCTCTCCTACCGCCGTACCGCCCGCTGCCCACCAGGCGGCTGGTGTGGCCGCCCTGTCAGCGGACGTGGCAGCAGAGTTATGGGCTCGCAGCGAATACGCAGAGTGAGGGCCTCGCAGCGGCCAGCACTGGAGTGCTCAGCGGCATCACGCTGCTCTTCTCCCCTCCTCTCCCTCCTCGCCTCCTCTCCTCCTCACCCCTGTTCCCCCCACTTATGTCGCCTCTCATCTGTTCCCCCCCTCTCTGGAACCTCTGTCTCACACCCACACAAATACAACACACGCGCACACACACCACACACTCACACCACCGCACACATATACACACAGCTCACACAAACCACTCTCACACTACACACACGCACACCACATACAGCAGATGCTCACACACACACCACGCATGCTCACCACACACCATACACACAGCTCACACAAACCACTCTCACACTACACTCACCCACACCACACACACCAGATGCCCACACACACACCACGCATGCTCACCACACACGCACACATACCTCACACAGACACACACACACACGTTACACACACCCTAAACACTCACTCACACACCATAAACGCACTCCAGATAGTTGGTGTGAGGAGCAACTGCCAGACAGTTTGCTGATAAGTGGAGGACACAGAAGCAAAGCCTCCAGTATTCTCCAATACGAAACGCATGCCCACAACAAAATCCCTTCGAGCGTTGGGCAGGGCCCGCTGCCTACTGATATTAATACGAGAGGAGTCGCTGTGTGAATAATACGGTAACGTATCGTACTGTATCGAAGGAGTTAGTTGAGGGGTGTTGGAATGCTGACAAGGCACGCCTTGGTCATGGGAGGAGCTTACGAAATTGGTTGTGGCGGATGTGACAAAATCGGAAGAATGTTCCATTATTTATGTTTAGATGAGATACGACATTGATGAACGGGTGAAGCTCTGCAAACGACCATGGCACTTAACAAACAAGTTGTTAGAAGTGAGCTATCAAACATGGCACTTAACAAACAACTCATGAAATGGGATTGTCCTTATGAGTATCGTGCATTATATTTGACATTGTCATGGTGCCATAAATAGTTAACAACAGGGGCCTGCACTTGACCGTATTGTGAGTGGGGTATTGACACAGCATGCAACCCTTGAGCACCTACGGTAGTGCAAATGGGAGCCCAGCAGCCGCTGGTGGAGTGTGGCCGCCCTGCACCAGTAGTAAATTGATACCAGTTACCAGTACCATAATATTTTGGTTACTATGTTATGCTGCCAGTGCATGACAGCAGTCATGCCTTGCACCCACGCACACTCCCTCCGCACCGCCCCACCGCCATGCACACCTCCCTTAACACCACGTACGTGCCATGACTGCCCAGTGTCCAAGTGCTGCCATCACAGCTCTTCTTTCACCGCCTGCTTGTCACATTCTCCGCCTTGCCCCGTGCTGCCTCCCAGCGTGTGAGTCTGTGCCGTGTCTGTGCGTCCTGCTCGGTGCGGCACCAGCTCGCGCCACATCTTGCGGGCAGCACGGGAGGATGGCTCTCGCATGCTGCGCGGAGGGCTCACCTCCATCGCCCTGCCGCCTCCCACTCCCCCTACGCCTGTCGGCTCCCCCACCCCACTCTGCTTCCCGCCTTCCTGCCCCCCGCCCTCCCTCTCTGCTCCGCCCTGCTCCGCTCCCTGCTGCAACATGCTTCCAGCACCGCCCTGCTCCTCCCTCATGGCCTCCGCTCTGCTTCCTTGCGTCTCGCCCTCTGCCATTCGCGACGCAACCGCGCCGTCCCCTCCTTCCCTTCTTAACCGTTCCACAACTCCCACGTTCCCTCCCCATCCCACAAAACTGCCACCTGTAACCCCCCCAGCGGTTCCCACTTGCGCCTGCGCATGTGGTTCCGCTTTTCTCTTCGTTCCGCGCACCTCCTCGTCTCCCAGTTCGCCCCCTGCACCCGCGTTCAATCCTCGCCATACACGCCGTGTCTCTGCACCTGCGCCATGCCCCTCCATTCCGCCCTGACCCGCCCCCCCTGCATCACCGCCCCTCCCAGCCCCGCGCAGACTGCCTTCTGCTGCCTCCTGCCGCTGCCGCAACACTCTAGCGACCGCAGCGCGGGCAGCGGCGGAGCGTGGCCGGTGAAGCATGGGGGGAAAGGGAGGCGCACCCAAAAGCGGGTCTGCTGGGGCCGGGGCGAAGGCGCCCGAGTCGGGCAGCTGCGCGGGGAATGTGACGCGGAGGGGCTCGCCTGGCGCGCGGGGGTGCGCGGTGAGGGTGGCGAAGCGGCGGGAGGAGGCAGGTGGCGGAGAAGAGGGCGCCAAGGGCGCGGGCTCTTGGTTCTCCCCCGTGCCCTCTGCCGCCGCGCGCTGCTGCGGTGCTCGCAGACGAGACGACACCGTCCAGTCGCCGTCGATCGCGCTGCCTTGCACGCCGCGCCGCTCACCCTCCTCCTCATCCCACTCGTCGTAGTCGAAATCGTCGTCATCGTCATCGTCATTGTCATCGTCATCGTCATCCCCATCCTCATCATCATCTTCGTCATCGTCAATCTCCTCGTCATCATACTTGCCCTCCTCCTCCACCTCCGCCGCCACCTCCTCATCCCCACAGTCAGCATATTGTCCATCTTCGCCCCTCTCCAATCCCCAAATATGTTCCTCCTCGTGAATATTTCTTTCTGCGCCCCCCGCCATGTCTTCCCTTTCCCTCTCCTCGCCCACGCTGCTCTCCTCCAGTTCCTCACCCGCATGCGGCCTCCCATGGCCCTCTGCTCCATCACCGGCTCGTCGTATTGACCATCTACTCGTCACTCTCTCGTCTTCCGGCACCTCTTTCTTTGAATTACCCATCTGTACACGTGCACACCATGCGAAGCCCTATATCCTTATCTCGCTAACGCTTTACGGCATAACTAAGCAGCTGGCGCCTAGAGAAAGGAAGATAACTTTTGCGAGGGAGAAAAAAAAACAGTGCCGATCGTTCCACAGTTTCTTAAGAAAGTAATGAGACGGGCGCATAATCTCGGTCGCTACGAGTAGAGGAAAATGGTCGGGGAGGGGAGAGTGAAGGGGGAAGGGGGGGGAGAGATTCACGTAGCCATGTGAGCTCATGGGTGGCGGACATTAGCGGCTTGAGGAATACAAGGAGCTGCATCTGAGGTAGCGAAGAGGCGGCATGGATTCCGAAGCGAGAGGGAAGCGAGGAGGGGCGTTTTCCTCGCACCGTGCCAGCCAATCATTGATGCAACACAACGTCGCATTTGATCAACACAACAATTATCGGATCGCGTTCGCATGGCAATGTGACGTCTTGGTCGAAACGCCCCTAGCCTCGCCAGATATATCCATCAGCACACTTCATACCCGGTAACCTCACTTTCGAGACTTGGCGCAAGCCAGGCGTTGATAAGTAGCTTCCAAATCTTCATTAGTTCATAGGTATAAACAATATAAGTGTAACCCTTCATACACTGTGACGGATGCATGCAACAGCATACTGTATAGAATATCTGTTTTTGATTAATGCACGTAGTATTACACTTGTGCTGAAGGTGGCCTGCACTGAGAGGGTGCAAGCGGGCTGGCATGACTAATGAAATGCGCAGTGTCGGCTGTCTCCCCTACATCATCTGCATTGCGCTGCCAGGACCAGTCCGCCTCCCCTGTGCTGGCTCCTCCCAGCACCTGGAAGCGGCCATGGCCGAACGAGGCCTCCCTGAATGCAGACCACCCAGGTTTCTTGTGGTAGCTGCATGGATAAGGGATACAAAGAAAATGCAGGTAAAGGTATTAATGTGTGAAGCACAATAGGCCATAAGGGCACAAACAAAGAAACTGGGGCTCTTCAATATGGTCAGCACAATGTAACGCCCAAAAATGGTGACAATAAAGTGGGGGAAAGCCAGCAGGAGCAAGAAAAAACAAGCAGTCATTGATTGGAACTGCCAACACAGGGGGGTGGAACATACGTGGAATAGAGGCCTTCTCTGTTGCCACCGTCGCCTATAGTCACATGGACTATGCCGCAGGGGTGTGGATTGCCATTGAATATGCGCTTCTGCGAGCACAATTGGCGCGCACACAGCATCGGAACTTGGAATAAGGACCAGCAGAAATGGAAGAGGAACACAAGAGAATGACTTCACAGCCCTGAGGAGCGGGGAAGAGGGATTACACAAGGCGGTCAAGAAGCAAAGAACTGAGTGCACTAAGGGGGGTAGATCGGAGGGGGGAGCGGGAGCATACGGATCGCTCATAGGCGTGCACGTGGCCGGCAAAGAGGATGTCAGTGCGCGCAGCGAAGAGCAGCCCCTCGAGTGCCTGGCGCATGGGACGGCCGTCATCCTTATGGCGTGTGTTGGAGCTGTACCACGGCTCGTGCAGCACCACCACCAGCCATGGCGTGCGCGCCCTGTCCACCAGACTCAGGTCCCTCTGCTCCATGAATGCATGATAGGTGAGGGGGGAGGAAGGCAGGGAAGGAGTTGGTGGTGGTTCAGGTGACAGGTGCCAAGGAACAAGCCATGAAAGCCAGGTGCAGAAAAAGCTATGAAAGAAGGAGAACAGCATCAGAATACCAGCATGGCAGGGGAAGGCATGGGTGGGGTTGAGCGGCACCTTGAGCCAGGTGTACTGGCGGGAGCCGGGGAGGAAGCCCGAGTAGGAGGAGAGCATGACCCAGTGGATGCCTGCCGTGTCAAACGAGTAGAATAGGTTCGATGGCGACCCGCTCTCTGCAGCGGGCATGCGCCAGCGCGCGTTGTATGAGATGAAGCCAGGCAGGAAGCGCGAGAGCGACTCCTGGTCGTGGTTGCCGGGCACGACCATCCAGGGGCGCGTGCTGGCGTAGGGGTCAATGAGCGTGCTCCAGCTGTCCCAGCGCCAGGGGATGAAGTCGGCATAGGAGAGGTCGCCTGGCACCACCACCATGTCGTGCGGCCGGCTGCCCACGTGCTTCAGCGTCTTCACCGTCCACCCACTCTGCCCCAGGTCGCCTGGTGACGGCAATAGTGGTGCAGAGGCGCGGTCATGGAGTCACAGGGAAGAGATAGTACAGTGGGCGCGGGAAACAGAGGATAAAAGCATTGAGGCATGGGCTGATGCAGGGAGACCGAGGGAATGCGTGAAAGATAGGCATCACAGTTGGTGCGAAAATGAAGCAGATTCCATGGGCAGTTGACAGTGCAAGGAGGCGGGCGCACGCACCAACGATGGCAACGTTGATGGCGGCATCAGCGGCGGTGGGCGGGGTCTTGAAGGAGCGGCGCTTGCCCTTGCGCCCCATGCGGTAGTAGTACACCGTGTTGCCCGCCAGGGGCTTGTCCGCCGACCCCACCACCACGCTGTGGATGAACCCTGACCTGCGCAGTGCGAATGGGGGGACATGCGCGGAGGGCGCAGGGGAGGGAGCGTTGCTGCAAAGAAGCGCGTTCGCGCAGACGGGGTTGAGCGGTGCATTGCGGTGCAGGCTGTACAACGCGTGCGCGGGTGGGGGCAGCACCTGTAGAAGAGGAACTGGTAGGAGGAGGAGGTGCCGCGCGAGAGGCGGTTGAGCGCGTTGGGGTGCAGCCCCCACGTGACGAGCGACAGGCATCGCGGCTGGCTCGTTATCCACGTGATGCGCATCGCCACCGCGCCCGCCGTCGCACTCGCCAGCGACACGTGCACCTGCCACGCGCACGCACGCACCACACACACAGATGAAACGACTGACTTGAGTGTGCGTGCACGAGGCATGTAGCCGCGCTGCTTGCACCCACCCACCCACCCACCCACCCACCCACCCTCATGCATTGCAAATTCTCACACTCGTCGCCGTCCACACGCGACCTCGTCAATTCTCTTCCCTCTTCCCCCTCCACCCCCCTAGCTGGAGATCGCAATCAATACGACGGTGCAGAAAGGGTGTGCGCGCATGGTGGCAGCGCACCCACAACGCCCCACACGCACTTATAGCCCGCCCCACGGATCGCACCACCGATCTCACTGCTCCTTTTCCACCACTCTCCCCTCTCTCTCACCCCTCCCATCGCTCTTCACGCTGATCTCACTCCCCTCTCTTTCCCGGATCTACCCCTCTGACGTGCAAGCGGCGCGGGACAGCGCGCGGACCTGCTGGGGGATGGGCGAGCGCTTGAGCCATTTGATGATGGTGGGGCCGAGCGGAATGCGCGGGCGCGCGTTGGGGCGCACGTACATCTCCACCACCTGCTTCGCCACCTGCCCCGCCTCCCCCACCGCGTGCGCTATTTTCTCCGCCGCCCGCCCCACCCTCTCCACTGGCCCGCCGCCCCCGCCGCTGAGGGATGCACTCCCATCGCTGCCGCCACCATTGAGCGACGCAGTGCCGTTGAGAGACCCTGTACGGTTGAGCGACGCTGTACTGTTGAGCGACGCTGTACTGTTGAGCGACGCTGTACTGTTGAGCGACGCTGTACTGTTGAGCGACGCTGTACTGTTGAGCGACGCTGTACTGTTGAGCGACGCTGTACTGTTGAGCGACGCTGTACTGTTGAGCGACGCTGTACTGTTGAGCGACGCTGTACTGTTGAGCGACGCTGTACTGTTGAGCGACGCTGTACTGTTGAGCGACGCTGTACTGTTGAGCGACGCTGTACTGTTGAGCGACGCTGTACTGTTGAGCGACGCTGTACTGTTGAGCGACGCTGTATTGTTGAGCGACGCTGTGCCGTTGAACGACGTTGTGCCGTTATGCGACGCTGTGCCGTTGAGCGACGATGTACCGTTGAGCGACGCTGTGTCGCTGAGCGACGCTGCGCCGTTGAGCGACGCTGTGTCGCTGAGCGACGCTGTGCCGTTGAGCGACGCTGTGTCGCTGAGCGACGCTGTGTCGTTGAGCGGTAGAGCGCGGTTTCCAGGCGAAGAGCTGTGGAGAGCGCCTACGACGGAGGTTGGTCGTATGAGCTGTATCAAGGCGCGGTGAGAGGCGGTCGCGGGGAAGCAGGCGGACGCGGAGGGGAATGCAGCGGTGCAGGCGGCCGCAGCGAGGGAATGATGGGAGGGCGACAGCAGTAGAAGCAGAACTAGGTCGAGCGTAATGAGCTGCACTTGTGACGCGAATTCACGACGCCTCTCGGCCATGCCTTCTGCAAGTGCGGTGAATACTCAAGGATCGGTAGGAACGAGATGAGCGGCGGCACGATCAGCAAGGCCCCACCAAAGCGTGATCAGCGTTGTGTTGTGAAATGACGCTGGTCACGAATTCTGGCGGAAAAGGATAAGTAGCACGGCACAGCACACCCTTACTAAGATCATGACGACCACCACGCACCCTGGATAAGCTTGTTCGCGTCTCGGGTGCGCTGGTGCACCGCTTGCCAAGCTGGGCTGGCTGCATCCAATCACGGCTTGCTGTGGCTTCGCTTTTCGCAGCTTGCTTGTTGCAGCGCAGCGCGGCGACTGCATCCTCCCTGCTCCAGCAAAGTGATCAGATTCACAACCCTTTTTAATCACAGGTTTCTGAACGGTCCTGTGTTACCCCCAGCAGTTCGGAACTTGTTCGTGGTTGCGGAAAACAAACTCTGTATTGCTGATGACATGTTTCACCTACCCGGTGTGAGCTCTGGTTCCGGTTAGGGGAGAATACGAGCCAGTTGGGAGCAAAGGGCGGATGGGTCAGTGTGAGATACAATTTGGTCCGATGTTTTCTGTGGACCGCGGCAAGGGACACCTTACTGTAAAATTGGTCTCATGCATGGACACCACATCTCCAGCAAGGTGCAGTGGACTTCACCTCGCGATTCCCCCGATATATCATGGCCCTCAACTGGAAAGGGTAGCAAAGTATCTGCGGTGGCTGGTTGGTTCTATTGTGCTGCGTGCAGCGTAGTAGCTCTGTGACTCGTCAGAATGCCCGTGTCGGAGGGGAGGTTGGCAAACACAATACAGCACTGCTGTGTCGGTGCAGGTGGGTCAGGTGTCAGAAAACAAGCATCTCTGCGAAAACAGGCTTGAATCCACATTTGCTCAAAGCGGGTCATAGCCTTTCGTACTGTTCCTTTAGCGCGGTCCAGAACGTTGACTATTTGCGCTGTACATCTTCGCACATTAGACTGACGCTAGTCAAATGTGAATGAATAAATATGACCCACCCTCAGATAGCTTTGCTTACTCTTACGAGGTACCGGTAGCGAGGATTGCACTAAAGTGTCAAACGAGTACAAAGATGTGAGCGAAGGCATGAGCGAATATTTATACGCGAAACATGCAAACGGTAACGCGGTGCGTGCGAGCTAGCTAGTGCTACGCTGGCAGCGAGGCTCGGGCTAGTCCCGAAGCGTAGGCCGACACGGCCAGGCCAGCAGTGCGAGGTTTGGCAAAACAGTGCGCACGAGGTTGGCGAAGTCCCGTTAGCAGTAACGGGCGAACAACGGCTGTTGCTGTACGCGATGCATGTCAGAACATCATAGCTTATACTTTTGTGTAGGCTGTAGTGGGGTAGCCCATAAAGGGTACAACCCAATTAGGGTTAGTACTTGTACCCAACTGTTCATAGTTCAATCATTCTCGTTCTCTTTTCTCATGGTATCGAGCAGGTTCCCTAGTGGGAACTGTTCCTAGGGCCCACCGACTTTTTTTTCCTGCCCGGGGCGTATCCCGCCCCTGCCCGAAGCGCGCTTAGGGTCGCGCCTTCCCTAGCGGCCCCGTCGCGTCGCCCTTAGCGGCCCGTCGCGCCGCCCTTAGCGGTTCCGTCGCGCCGCCCTTCGCGGCCGCGTCGCGCCGCCCCTTCGTGGCCCCGTCGCGCCGCCCCTTTTGCGGCCCCGTCGTACCGCCCTCAGCGGCCCGTCGCCGCCCTCCCCCTGTAGCCCGTCGCCGCCCTTTCACCAGCGGCCCCGTCGCCGCCCTTACAGCGGCCCCGTCGCTGCCCTTACAGCGGCCCCGTCGCCGCCCTCCCCTTACGGCCCGTCGCCGCTCTTACAGCGGCCCCGTCGCCGCCCTTACAGCGGCCCCGTAGCCACCCTTACAGCGGCCCCGTCGCCGCCCTCCCCTTACGGCCCGTCGCCGCCCTTTCAGCGGCCCCGCCGCCTTCTTCAGCGGCCCCGTCGCCACCCCTCCAGCGGCCTCGACGCCGCCCCTTCAACGGCCCTCCCGCCGCCTCCTCTGCGGCCCCGTCACCGCTCACTTCAGCGGCCCCGCCGCCCTTCGCGGCCCCGCCTTCCTTAGCGGCACAGCCGCCCAGCAGCCGAGCCGCCGAGCAGCCGAGCCGCCCAGCAGCCGAGCCGCCGAGCCGCCCAGCAGCCGAGCCGCCGAGCTGCCGAGCCGCCGAGCCGCCCAGTAGCCGAGCCGCCCAGCAGCCGAGCCGCCGAGCCGCCGAGCCGCCGAGCCGCCCAGCAGCCGAGCCGCCAAGCAGCCGAGCCGCCCAGCAGCCGAGCCGCCGAGCCGCCCGAGCCGAGCCGCCGAGCCGCCCACTCGCCGAGCCGCGGAGCCGCCCAGTTTCCGAGCCGCCGAGCCGCCCGAGCCGCCCTGTCCGGTAAGAGCAGCGCCTCTGTCACTGCACTGCCCTTACCCTACTGTTCGCGCTGCTAGTCTACTGCTGTCATGGCTACCCCTAGTGTCCTCGCTTTTGACGCTGAAGGTCAGGCCATTGACTTTGACGTCTGGATAGATGACCTGCAGCTTTTCCTACAGTGCGATAGGGCAGACGGTCTCTCCCTCTTTGACCTCACCTCTGGTGCCTCTCCTGCCCCTGCTGCTGATGCCGATGCCACTGTTCGCTCACAGTGGGCCACACGCGATGCTGCTGCACGTCTTGCTGTGCGTCGCCACCTGCCTACCTCTGAGCGTGCGCACTTTAGTCAGTACAAGAGTGCTCAGACCTTGTACGGCGCTGTAGTTGCACGCTACTCCTCCCCTGCCACTGCTGCACTGAGCCGCCTCATGCTACCGTACCTCTTCCCTGACCTTGCTGCCTTTCCCACAGTCGCTGACCTCATTACGCACCTCCGCACTAGTGACACTCGCTACCGCGCTGCGCTTCCTACTGAGTTCTGCGCCAAGAACCCCCCCCCCCATGTACATCACCCTCTACTACAAAGTCACCCGGCTCCCTGACTCACTTCGCGTAGTCAGGGACCACTTCCTCTCAGTTTGCCCCACCACTCTCACCGTTGACCTCCTCGAGAAGGCCCTCCTAGCAGCAGAGAAGAGCATAGTAGCTGTAGGAGCCTCTCGTGGTGACCCTCGCACCCCCATCTTTGAGGGGTGTTCCCCCTCCCCCCTTTTGCCCTCTGTTGCCTCTGCTGCTGCGGCCGACCTCGTTGGGCTTGAGTCGGTCGGTGCGGCGTCTACCCCTAGCGGGAGACGCCGCCCTGGCAAGGGCAAGGGGGGCAGGGGCGCTGGAGGAACTAGCGGGGGCGGTGGAGGAGGCGGTGGAGGCGGTGGAGGGGGTGGGGGTGGCGGTGGGGGTGGTGGCGGGGGTGGAGGAGTCGGTGGCGGCAGTGGAGGCGGAGGCAACGGCGACGGTGGCGGTGGGAGCGGGGGTGGCGGAGGTGGCGGCGGTGGAGGAGGCGGTGGCGGTGGAGGTGGAGCTGGTCGGGGTGGCACTGTGCAGAGGGTCGGCTCCGGTGGTGGTCAGCGCCAGCAGCAGCGGCAGCAACAGCGCACTCGTGACATCCCCCCCCCTCAGCAACTCCGTGAGTGGTACGCTGCACGCCAGCGGGGTGGGGGTACTTGTCCGTGCACCTACGTCCTACGCACCGGCGACCGCGCAGATGAGCAGTGCGGGGGTGCGCACTCCACCCAGCGCTGCTTTGGCCGCCTGACGGACGCTTGGCGTCACCAGTTCCCGAAGGCCACTGAGATCCCCCGCTGGGGCGAGCATTCTAGGGCAAGAGTAGCTGTCTTTGACCTTGACTTTGATGCTATTCTTACTGCCATGTATGCTCTGACTACTAGTGATGAGGGTGACTGTTACCGGTGTTTTCCGCCCGACCCGGGCATTGAGACTTCTGCTCTAGGTACTGGTGAGGCTGCTGCTCTAGGTGCTAGCGAGGCTGCTGCTCTAGGTGCTCGTGCGTCTGCTCCCTCAGGTGCTGGTGAGTCTGCTCTCTCACGTACTTCGTCGGCTTCGGCCTCCCACACCTTCACCCTTGACTCGGGGGCTTCTCGCTCCTTCTTTCGAGACCGCACCACACTCACGCCGCTTGGCCGGCCAGTTGCAGTCTCTCTGGCAGACCCCTCTGGGGGTCCTGTCCTTGCTCACTACTCCACTGTCCTCCCGTGTCCGGCGGCCCCCTCTGGCACCCTGTCTGGTCTTTACCTCCCCTCGTTCTCTACGAACTTGGTGAGTGGTGCTGACCTATAGGATGCGGGGGTTCACCAGTTCACTCCTGCGAGTCAGCGGGTGACCCACTGCACGGACGCTCGGACAGGCCGACACCTGGCCACGTTTACACGCCGGCCGAGGTCGAGCCTGTACACACTGACCACTGCGTCTCCTCCAGTCACTGCGTCTCGTCAGGTAGCTGCGTCAGGTCAGGTGTTTACTGCAGCGTCCAAGTCTGGTCGTGAGTCTGCCCCCTGCTCGTGTCGCCTCCTGTCTCACGAGACTCTCCTCTGGCACCACCGCCTTGGTCACCCCTCCCTGCTTCGTCTCCGAGGCATGGCCTCCCGTGTCCTTGTCTCTGGTCTTCCCCGGTCCCTCCCTCCCCTTCCTCCTGGGCCTGGCCCTACCTGCGTCCACTGTGTCGAGGGGCGGCAGCGGGCTGCCCCTCACTCCTCCCAGTTTTCTCCGACAGAGGCCCCGTTGCAGACGCCCCACATGGACGTGTGGGGCTTGGCCCGCGTCCGTGGACAGGGTCACGAGCGCTACTTCCTGCTGGTGGTTGACGACTACTCGCGTTACCCCACAGTCTTCCCCTTGCGCAGCAAGGGTGATGTCACTGAGGTGTTGATCGACTGGATCCGTGCAGCTCGTCTACAGCTCAGGCAGAGCTTCGACTCGGACTTTCCTGTTCTGCGTCTGCACTCTGACAGAGGCGGAGAGTTCTCCTCTGGCCTTCTGCGAGCCTACTGTCGTGCACGAGGCATCCGCCACACCTTCACGCTTCCGGACTCTCCACAGCAAAATGGGATTGCTGAGC